TTCAAACTTGAAAACGTCTGCTGATTCCATGAAGCTATGTTATGATAAGAGATCTACTGAAGTCAGCTTTGTACCAGGAATCAAGGTGTGGTTGTATAATCCCAGGAAGACCAAACAGAAGTCTCCTAAGTTGTCTTCTCCATGGGAAAGCCCATATGACATAGTGGATCGTTTCTCAGACGTGACTTTCCGAATAAAATGTGGTCGGCGAGGTAAGCCAAAGGTGGTGCATGTCAACAGGCTTTGGCATTATTACAGTCCAGGACATTTCAGTTGGAACGAAGTGAACAACGGATCAAATGATGCTGCTGAAGACGTGTCACCTGAAAAAAAACCACTGTCGAAGAAGAAACTCTACCTGGTTTTGAGAAGGGAAACAGTGAAGCCCTTGATGAAGTTACTACCACTGATGTGACTGTTACCAATGATAGGATGTTTCCTGATGAAGCAGGCAAACCCCACATGAAGCAGAAGTCAACGAGACGGAGACCAGTACGGAAGAAGATACATCCCGTAAAATTAAGAGACTTTGTTTTATTTTAATTTTGTGTTTGTAAATTCTGTACATTTCATCAAGTTTTTGTTAATTATCTATTGGGTTAATGTAAGTGACTATTGTTTGGGACGAACAATTCTAAGGAAGGGGCAGTGTTACGACAGCAGAAGTCACGTGACGCTGGTAACATGTCATGAGTTTCTCGAACGATTATGACTGTTCCTGGCAACTCTAGTTTGGTATATAAGCCCAGCAAATAAAGCAGAGATATGATTGCAGATAGACAGATAATTGAGTCAAGTGAGCGGTAGTGACCATAAGTAAAGTGCGTGAATCATTGTGAATTATAGCGCGTGTTTAAGTTAAAGTGACTGTGGAAATTCTGTGTATTGCAAAGTTGTATTGAGAAAGAATAAACTAGTTTTATTTAAGAAAGGACTTGTGTCACTGAAGTTCCTCGGGAAGAATTTTTACAGGAAATTAACAAACAACCAGAGACATAACAATATAAATTTGCTGTTATTACATAATAGTGAATCAAAACTGTATTTCTAAATTTTATATGGTATTTTGTATTTATCTACTGTTAGAATGTTAGTCTATTATAATGATTAACAAAATCTACAACAAAACTTCACATATATTACAGAATAACATACATGTTCAAAACATTATTATATATATTAGGTTGTTTTTGATAATTGATTACATTCATCCATCCACTAGTTTTTTGTGTTACCTAGATTATGAGTTCAGTCTTTATAGTTGTTGTACGTGGTGATGTCAGTTTAATGTGGTGAAATGCTGAAGTTTTCAGATATGCTTGTTTATTATTGGATACACAGGATATAATATGTCTTGCTACAATGTTTCTTGAGGATAATTTGGCATCTTCAGGTACAAAAAACAAGTTTTTCATTTATGCCAACAGTGTACCTCCTTTATTTATTCAGGTTACTCACAGTGCAGTGATGTCTATGTTTAAGAATTGCTGTGCAAATAATCATCTTTCATGTGATAAAGTACAGGATGTTTGTGTATGTAGTTGCTTCAGTAACATACAAGATTTACTTAATTGAGTGGCACTAAACATTTTTACTCTTAAACTCTAAAATTTTATGGTTGGAACCTAATTAGGTCTAGTTACCACAGCCAGATGTTACATTGCATCTCACAAGCATAATAGGAATATAGTTACCACAGCCAGATGTTACATCGCATCTCACAAGCATAATAGGAAAATCTTTCCCCACAAAATTAGTTTTTTGGAAGATAATGAAAATTACAAAGATAAAAAAGTTGTTTTCGAATAATGAATCTAACAGTACCGTATCACACGTTTAAGTGTATGAACTTGTATCTGTTTTTAGGGTATAACAAATCATTTGAAATTTAACATTTAGTTATTTCTCTGACTGTATGTAATAATGTGTGGATAGTCATAATGCCAGGGTTGTAAGATGGAAAATGAGTTTTTTAGCCTTGAAATGGTAGTAAGTTTTAGTGTTGAAATAATGCACTTGGATTTGCTTTCTCAGAAGTGTGAAAAAAACTGGAAGTGTCTCTTTACCATTTGAATTAAACATTTGAAATATAGGTTTTACTGTAGTGCTATATTGTGTTTTCACCATAGCTTATTAATCAGTAATACTGAATATGGAAGCCTTTACATTTGTTAATATTAAACCATTTTAAAAATATTAACTCTTGTGTTTCATAGATTTTTATGTTAGAGACACTCCATGATGTTTGCTGTGTTCACTATTTTTATGTAGTCAGCAGTATAAACATCTTAAAGACAGTGACAAGTAAAAAAAAAAAAATGCATATCTGTGTGATTCATTACTTAGAGATAAAGTATATTTAAAAATCTTGTAAGTAACTCTACATTCCATTATAGACAAAAAAAATTAACTTTTGTATTTTCAATCGGGAAAATTATTAAAAGTGAAATGTCTTGCAACTTTCTATATGTATTTTTTAAGATATGTTGTCATGATAACATTTGTTACTTATGTATGTTGTGAAGAACTTCAAAATATAACTATTTCCTTTGCGATTCTTGCTATAAATAGAGTGGTCATTAATTAAGAGTAGTAGTACCAATGTTAATAAAAGAAATACTGATATATAAAGTGAACTTACTGTCATTGTGGTAGCACTGTTCATGTACTTTGAATCAGCTTTGAGTCCATGAGGCCAATTGTGTAAATTGCTTTAAATTTTTGTTATTTTATTTTATATGTAGGATACCACATACATATTCAAACTTATTGACACCTGGTTTGAGAACTGTTATAGTTCATACTTTCTTTAATTTTTGTCTTTGGTAATTTCAATAGTTTTTACATAAAGGCATCATTGTTTTTCTTAGCGAGAACTTCAAGTGTGCAGACTTTTGACTCCTTAGACTTTGCACGTTATTCTGATGATGGAGAGAGACAAGTTGATGAAAGAGTTGCAAGTAAGAAGAGATAATGGAACATTGTAAAATTGAAGTTTATAATTGTTATTCACGTGTTTAGCAAAGTACATAAAAACTATATGCCTTGAACCATAAGATAACTATGATTTTATGTATGAAAATAGATCTTTAAGATATTTAAATTGAAATGCATTGTTTTCTGCTGATAATTAATTTGGAGATAATAATTACTTCCTCAGTTTTAATAACTGTATCTCAAGTAATCTTTTAACTAACTTTTAGTATTGGATTCTAAATAATCTTCATTTTTGGTGTGGTACATTTACCACAGAAGTTTTCAAATGGACAGAATTGGTCTTGGAATACATCTTTGGACTTGAGGTGTTTGTGTATGGAAGTGTCAATAATGTTGTTTCCATGCTTCTCCAAGGCTGCTCATCTGAAATATTTCATCTCTGCCTAAAATCCCAGTGAAGAGTCAACTTCATGCATCTTTTAACTCAACAGATTATTTCATTTTGTCGTGCTATGAATTTTACTTTTAACTAACATTTATCACAAAATGTTAAACTATCATAATTGTTAGTTAGTTTTATGCCTGCTTACATCAATGCAATGTATATCTGACATGTATTTTTGAACTGTAGTAAGTGTTGTGCTCATTAACCTTACATCTACCTTAGATTTTAATTCACTTTTGTAATATTATTCTAAATAATTATATTTCTGACTCGATTATGCTAATTCACATTAACTGTTTACAAGAAACTTTTCCAGTGACTATAGAACCTAATCCTATTAAGGATTTATTTACAGCTTTGAGAAAGAAAACAAACACTAATAATTTATATCTTATTTTCTTTAAAGTTACATACAGTACAAGTCACTTGAAGAGTATTAGTACTTAAAAGGCTTCAGATAGAAACAAAACAATGATATACTCATCTGTACTTGAAACAACATCCAATTTTGGTTTAATTTGTTCCGTAGTTTATTTTTGCTTGGTTATTTTTGTATTTGGGAAACTGTTTAACAATTTGAACATTTTGCATAAAAGGATATGGTTTGAGAAATAAATCACGGGTAATTTTTATTCAAATGGAATTTGTATTCTGTGTTTGTTTATTTACCTTGACATCGATGAATGCTTTTATTTTAAAATATAGATTTTTTCAAATTTATAAATGGATACAGAAATCATCTTAATCAACCTACACGTTGGACCATGTTATTATTGCTGTATAGAAGTTTTTTTTTTCTTAAATGCCTAATTTGTGATTTAATATTAAACAGCTTGCTCTGATAATAAGTTAATATCATTTGTGTTCTGTTCCAATTATAGATTATTTGGATAATACATTGATTCCAGTTTTAATTTTAGTAAGTTTATAGAACCATTTATGTAAAGCCTCATTCGTAGTTGATTTAAAATTTTCCTTCTTCTAGCCCAGTAAGTGCAGAAAAGATAGATGTCCCTCTTTATTTTGATACATGATAATATTAAGTGAAAATTGATGCATGATTTTATCTTTCTCTTATCATTTTTCTTAATTCATTAAATTTAGAAAGTTAACTAAAGTGTATCTCATTATTGTAATACACAGTAATGCGAACTGAAATAATTTTATCCTTCTGTCATCATTTCATTTAGTTCAGTAAGTGCAATAAAGGTAAAAGATGAGTAGATGCATCACTGTATTGTAATACATGGTAATGAGAACTGAAAAATGTTTGCATGAATTTACCTGTTACTTTTCCTAGTTCAATAAGTTCAGGAAAGATAACAGAAGTGTATAAGTTTGTAGACAAGTGTCATTGTCAGCATATGCATTTGAAATACACATACTGTAGAAGGACAGCACATATTTTATGGTAACAGTCAGTTTGTGTAACTGTTGGTGAAACATGTTATAGATTGTAAGTTTTAGAGATACGTATTTAAAACATATAAAAAAATTTTAGTAATAATTATGACTAAATGCTGACAGTTTTTGATTTTTCTTCTCTTGAGTTCTGGAGTTTGAACTGCGTAAAGCTAAAGAGACCATCAAGGGACTTAGAGCCAACCTAACAGTTGCAACAGGTCTGAAAGTTTTATTATTGTTGCTTTTTATCATTAGGTGTGCATGAAGCCTTGATGTTTTGCTAATTACAGAAGTTGTTTAGAAGAGCAAGTTTGATAATGTTAAACAGTAACACAAGTTTATATACTATGCATTGTTTTAGTGTTTGTACTTTTTTTTGGAAAACGCAGTTTTATGTATCATTGATCATTTCATAAATAGTACACGGATCTCATTTGTTGTATACATAAGATTTACATTAGATAATTAGTATTCTGACTGTTTTAGACTGTTTGTGAAATCAGCTGTAATGGTTCAAGAACCTATGTGCGACCAAGGTGCTTGATCATCAAGAAATTTTTTGTATTTGGTTTATAAAATGATGCTATTTTCTTGTTTACTAAACCAAACTGTAGGTCTGGATTTTGATTAATATGAATAAGGGCAAGATTCAAAATTATGAAATGTACTACTTAAATATTGTTAATGTTTAAAAAGGTGCAAGCATTTCAACTTAGTCTTTTTTCTCGTATTAAGATAACTATATCTGTTATAGTTACATTTGAAAAAAAAATTGGAATGACAAAATAATTGCTTGATTCTTTGTATGAGAGAGATAGTGCTGTTTCTGTGTATATAAAAGGTGAACGTTTTGTGTATGTAAAAAAAAAGTAGTTTCTGTGCTCATAAAAAGCAGTACTGTTTCTTTGTTTGAAAAGGCAGTACTGTTTCTGTGTGTATAAAAGGCAGTACTGTTTCTTTGTTTGTAAAAGGCAGTGCTGTGTATGTGTTTATAAAAACCATTACTGTTTCTGTGTGTATAAAAGGCAGTGCTGTTTCTTTGTGTAGAAACCATCTTCTTTAATTAAATGTTCAGATTTTAGTATTTTTTATTTATGCTTCCAAAAAGCTTTTGTGTACAGTTACAAAATTGACCAAACTGCAGAACATTGAAATTTTACACTAAATGTATGCAAACTTTTGTAATGCATACCAATTACAGCAACTCAAAACATGAACATAAGCACACCCTTGCTCTAGATATATAAGGCCTTAATATTTGTAAATATATTACAAATTTTACTGAATACTAATGAGTTCATAACAGATTAACAGAGAGATGAACAATTTTCACTGACATTTTATGAAATATCCTTATACAGGTTTAATACATATACATTTGATTTGTGAATTGTATATTAAGTTGATATCTGATTACTAAATACTTTTGTAACAGATTCTGGCACCCTATTAACTTTGTAGTACAGTAGGGTATTTGAAAAAATACTTGAAACAACAACATTATCAATCTGTAACTTAATTAGCCTTAGTCTTCATATCATTGGGTTTACATTCTCACAAAAATGAATTAAATTAGCCTTAATCTTCATATCATTAGGTTTTCATTATGACAAAGATTGACTAAATTAGCCTTAATTTTCATGTCATCGGGTTTTCTTTCTGAGAAAGAGTGACTAAATTAGCCTTAATCTTCATGTCATCAAGTTTTCATTTTGACAAAGATTATGCTCATTGCTGAGAATGGCTAAGATCATAAATGAGTTAGATTGTGCTAGTAGTAAAAATAATGTAAAATATGTAATATAATACTCTGAGAGACATGTTCAAAAACATTAGTCTTGAGTTATCTAGTTGTAAAGCTGAATAGAATGGAGAAAAAGTAAGTACTACACAATAATGTTTTTAAATCGTAACACCTTTTGTTACTTTACTGATTCTCTATATACATGTTATAAACAAGAAAAGTCAACCAATTAAACTTATTTTCAGTTGAAATCTTTTTATCTTACCAACCGTTATTTTATACCACTCATGCGAGTGTGAGGCAGTGTTATTTGAAGTATTTTTAAAATAAACTGATATATGCTTAAGATGGAACCTTGTGATCTGGTGGCTTGAATGTGAGCAATTTGCTTTATAGCTACGATATCCAACAAAGTAAAACATCTGGTGTAATAATTGACATACTGTATCACATTCACACTGAAATATCCAGCATAATAAGATATCTGTAGTAATTATTAACTGATTTTTAGGTTACTACTCACAGATTCCCAAGAAGATATCTGCATAATTATTAATTGTCTTCAGTATACACATATATTGAAAAATATTTATGGTAATTATTAACTGATTTTTAGGTTACTACTCACAGATTCCCAAGAAGATATCTGCATAATTATTAATTGTCTTCAGTATACACATATATTGAAAAATATTTATGGTAATTATTAACTGCTCACACACGAATGTTCAGCAAAATAAAACATTTGATGTAATTATTATTAATTGTCTTCACACAACACATGAAGAAAAGATAAATGGGGTAATTATTAGCTGTTGTTTCTAAACACGTATTTATCAGGAGAAAATATTTAGGTAATTATTAACTGTCTTCACACAACACAGTTATGTAACAAGACAGGTTATTAACTTTCCTTCATATAGGAAGAACTTTGGGATAATTGTTAACTGCCACAAGCACCTGGATATCCAGTAACATAGAAAAGATGTCTGGAGTAATTATTGCTGTCCTCACTACACACGTGTAAAATATAATATCTGGGGTACTTAATATTTTTTTCTTATTTTTCGAATATTCAGCAAGATATCTGTGTTTATGTTCAAATAATTAGATTATTTTTTTTAAAAAAAAGAGGAGACTGTGAACTCTTATTATCAAATGAGCATTAATTTTCTGAAATTTGTATTTTTATGTGGTAGAACTTGATTAGGAGTTTCTGCTACATTAAGAACTAAATTATTATGATACACTAGATAATATGCAGTACAATTCTTTCAGTAGATGCATTTCCTTGTACTAAGAATAAGATCACAAATTGGTTAACAATGAGTTAAGAGATGTTTTTGTCTGGAAGAGTTAAATTCAACAAATCTAGAGAGTAAAGGTAAAGTTTTATTATTTTAGATATTTTAAGTGATATGTTCTTTGAGATGAAATTTTATGAGATTCAGTTACTAAAATAAGTTTTTATTTTTCTCATTCTGAGATTGGAATTTTCAAATCGAAAAGAATAACAATGATGCTTCATTGACAGTTCGATTTATGTTGTTTTAAGAATCGGATCCTAATACTCCAGAAGGAAATGGAGAATTTCCAGTAACAGATGAGCCTGTGAAACCTCATGAGAAGAGAGCACTGAACTTTCTAGTTAATGAATATTTGCTGAAGAATAGCTACAAGTTAACATCAATAACATTTTCAGATGAGAATGAAGATCAGGTAACTATGTGCTTTCGTAACTTCTTATATTGTAAGTACCAGTAATATTTTATTATAACTTTTATTACAGCAGAAACTATATTGACAAAAATGAGGAAGTGTTGTGTTCACACCATGTTACTGCTAAAACTAAATATAAAAAAATGCACTGTGCAAGTGGAGCTGTGGGAGCATTATAAGAGTGACAGTCAAATCCCATTATTTGGTCTGGTAATCTTAGTGTTGGTGGTGTTGACTAGCTGATTTTTCTCTAGCCTACCACTTCCAAATTAGAAACAGCTAGCTGTAGCTCTTGAGTAGCTTTGTGTGAAATCAAACAATCAAGGAAACAAACTTTGTGTTTCTTCACATTTGGAGTTCTATGGCATTTTATAAACTGAAAATTTGCTTCTGAGTTTCTGGGTAAATATTCATTTTTATCTTTACAGAACTCAGTAAACAAGAATACAAATCTTTCAGTGCTATCAATTTTTAACAATTTCCATTATTTTTACACCTATAAAATATCACGAGTGTGAATTGTGTTTGTTATGGCAACTTTTATCTGTGCATTTACCAACAGTTAATATGCTGCAAAACATTTAAATAACTAGACTATCTTTCTAGGTTTTTCAAAATTGCTTGATTGTTTGAATCTTAATAAAAATCTGATCATGAGCTCAACACTTAGAAGTCTAACTTTGCTTTAGTACTTGACTGTGTTTTCTGGCGAATATAAAACTGTGTTCATGGAATCTTTGAATAGAAAAAAAACATTTTTTTTTACTTGCATATTAAGTTATCTATTTTATTACATTGAATAAACCCTTTTTGTTGATTAATTCTGTATTGGTTATTTTTGAGATTTATGCTTCAATACTTCATTATGCTTGTTGGAATATCTTGTTTTATATAACTTGTAAAGATAGACAGAAAGCAAAGCACTTAATACTATTTAAAAGATAAGTACAATGCTGAGAAGAATATGCAGGAATTGTTTTATTCCAATACATACCTACCTCCTCTCCCACTTATAGCTAGTACTAGACTGCCAGGGTTTCTTCCTTTGCCCATCTAGGCATTGGTCTGATTTTTTCTCGCTTGTTCCAATCTTTTATACCCCACTCAATGCCCTTGGCAATATTTATTTCATGACACTCTCCACCTACGTCAGTGCGCTCTATATCCTAGTACTGTATAAGCCTCTCATTCAGATAATGTTATCATTTTTTTCTTGGCAAAGCATTGCTCACGGGTTTCCCAGTATTATGATTGTTTGAAGATACTTTGAATGTTATCCATGTTTTTTAGTTGATTTCTCAGTTGAGGCTGTCAGTGATCTTATTGGTAGTGAGATGGAGACGCATATATTCGGTTTTGTCGTGGTTCTTCCGGAGGCCCTAAAGGTTGCAATAGAGAGCAATCCTCAACATTCTGGAGAGAATTTAGATTTGCTTTTTCCTGCGCCTTTCTTTAGTCTGTTGGCTTTACAGTCCCCCTGTGGGAAAGTGGCGAGTTTGCTGACTCTTAGTGCTGGGGTTCGACTCCCTATGGTGGATGTGGCGGATGGCCCAATATTGCTTTGCTCTAACACAACAAACGTACCTGACAAAATGTTGTTACAATCAACTGTAATTAACACAGTCTTTAAATGGCCTATAAAAACAAAGAGGAGGCCACTTTTTGTGATAAACTGCCTTTGATTTGCTTTCTTCTGTTGGTTGATTGAGGGTGTGATGTTTTGGGCCTTTTCCCGATTGCTTTTGAGCCTGCACCTTACTTTAATGGATGAGAGATTTGGGAGCAAATTTTTAGTTTTCTTTCCATTTATGGATATTGTGATTCATGCTGGAATGTTTACTTCTCAGTTATGTGAAGGGGCAGTTATGCCTTACCTGACACGTTGTTGGAAAATTGTCATTTAGCCTACCACTGCCTGGTGGAAGTATTTTCTGACTCTCAAATAATACATCTGCTTCTCGAATTTTGGGGTTCTAAGGCAGAGTTTGTGGTTAACCTGAATATATCAATGTCCCCTGATGGGACAGGGTAGGTCTATGGACTTACAACTCTAAAATCCAACATTTTGTTTTCCTTACAATTTACTTTGTTGGAAAACTAAGGATCACCAACTTCACTGATGATAAGCTTGATCCATTGTTAGCATGCACGCTAGTTCAATTTATGGCTTTTACATCCTTCTCTGTTGTTCTTGGAGTCCTGAATTTCATTGGTTCCTACGGTGGGTCATAGTTCTGCCCCTATTTTTGGGTCCCAACCCCCAACATTAGCCCCTCAGTACATTGTTATCCAGAATAGATTCCAAGGGTTCCTCTGCTCAGCCAGATCACCGCCAGTGGTATTGGTGATTATTGTACACCTTCAAGGTCTGTGGGGTTCGACTCAGAAAATTTCAGGATATGTGGTAACTTTAACCACGGATCCAACAGCACTGCAGGTTCTTGAGTCAAGATTAGTCATTCAATTCACATCTTCACTACTATTATCCACCAAACTTGTAGGGTTTCTGTCTCCCTCAGATCATTGGGATTTGGGACTTTGTTCTGTGACTATCAGAGTTTGGTTGGTCTGAGGGTAGTGGGAGAGTCGTGCTATTTCTTTAGAAGTTTTATTCCTGTGGGTTGTTGGGCATATGCAGACAGGAGATTAGTGTTCAGTCATCGATTTTTCTTGTCTATATCAATGCCTAGATTTTCCAAGGTTCATAAGTTACTCATTTCTTAATTCGAGTTGACTTTTTTACTGCAATTGTAAATGTACAAGTTTGTTTCAGTTGCCTCCTATCTGCACGTTGCCATAGTGGTGGAGTCTGTGTTTGTTGTGCACAAGGGTCAGGTACTGCAGTTCCGGATTTTTACCTTTAGACTTGCATTGCCTTCACAAGGGTACTGCTGTATCATACGAGTTTTTTCTCCTCACACCCATTAAATCGCACTCTGCACACACAATTACATGGATGACTGGTTACTGCTGGCACCATCTTCAGTTGTCAGACCATCACATCCTGATTGTACTTTCAGAAACAATCAAGGCAGACTTCATTTTCAGGGTTGAGACTTCTATTCTTGCTCCAATTCATATGTCATCAGTCTGAATATTTTTTATTTTTCATCTCGTCTCTCAGTTGGGCTCAGCTGTCTCCCATCCAGCTCAGCACTATTGAATAGGTCACCCAACTCTTACTCACCTCTTTTTTCACTGCATGGATGGTTCTTTTTTTTCTGGAAATGTGGGCCTCACTTGCATCCCTCAAGCCTTTGGGACAAGAGCACAAGAGATCCTTTTAATGGTCTTTATGCGACCAAGAGTTATTAAAATTGATTCAATGGATTCCCCAATTTTCTTAATCAGGATCATTTTCAATCTTTAGGGTTGTTAAGTTGGGATACTACTATGATATGGGTTCCTCTACTGCCACCATGTCCTGTGTTTCATCTCTTCACGAATGCCTTACTTCAGGGATGGGATGCATATACCAACAGTAAGGAATTCCAGGGTCTATGCACAGATAAAGAGGGTTCCTTACACAGTGTTTTAGTCCTTCTTGCTCTTCAACTGGCAATGTCTCATGGTCTGGGCTTATTAAGAGGAAAATTATTAGGCTTCCCTCTGACAATTCCGTGGTGGTGTCTTGTGTTTGTCATTGAGGAGGTACTTGGTCCAGGGCTCCTTGTTTTCCAATTTTGGACCTTCTTTTTCAGGACCATTCTTATCACCCTACTAGCTTGCCATGTTCCGTGGGTGATGCCTGCAGTAGCAGGTCAATTGTCTCAATCCAAACAGATTCTTCTGTTGAATTGGCTCTCATTATAAAATGGTGTATTGAGAGAAGGTTGAATCCACTTTGATCAGAAGTGTCAACCATAACTTGTTTTTTGATCTGATTCTTTGGCAGAGATTTTGCATCTTCCATAATCGCCCTGTTTAACACTATTTCCCCGGGTACCCTTTACTATGCATGATATAAGGTTTTAGTGTTTTAGGTTCAAAATTTTATTAAAACATTTTTTGTTTATGTTATACCAATTATAATAGCGTAAAATCTTAGCTAATAATGTATATTTTAATAGTATACAAATTTTAAGTTCTTAATTATACAAAGAAATATTTTTAAAAATCCTGAATTTCCACTAATGTGGCACCTGTGACACATTTTGTCTTTGCATGTCATCATCCCTATTTTATCCATTACCTCTCGAAAATGAACAAAATTAAATACTCTCACTAAAATAGTTATTGCTTAAACAAACCATAATTTTTATAGCCTTCAATTTCATTTGGTTACAGAGCTATCAAATACAAAATCAGACCCCTCCTGCCGCACCCACCTGTCACATCATCTCTTTCACAATTCATTGCATTATATATTACCTATAACCAATAGAAAACCAAGGTTTTCATCTATCAAATGGCGTATTGTATAACATTGTATTCTGAACAGAATATCATCAATTTCACTCACAGTATAAGATTTGTTCCTCTGGGAAAGTTAAGGACCAGCTTCAATAAATTTGTAACGGCTCTTGTCGCATAGTTAGAAAGCCAGGAAAATTTGAGAGTTAAATGAATTTGTCTACTTTTTGCATTTTATATATTTTTTATTTGGGTGCATTAGTTAATTAAATAAAAATTGTTAAGTGCATTGCTCTAAAAAATTGGCTTAACTGCCGTTGACAATCGAGGGCAAGAAAAATGAAGATTGAGTAATTACTTTATTTCTTAATTTTCATACTTATTATTTATTTATTATTATAAAAGTAACTAAAATATAAAAATATAGATCTTTTTAAGTTATTTAACACTAGATTAGGTAAAATAAATAATAATAATAACATAATTAAAATGGTTCACAAGGCATGCAAGCAAGCAGCTCGTGGGAAATGTAATTCAATAGCGTAATGTGAGCTGCACGTTCCCTGAGTGATTTACAACTTATAATGGTGCGGATAGTAGTTATACATGGTCCAAAGGGCAATAAAACAATAAAATTCATTTATAAA